CCCAGATGGGTGGGGAAAGGGCCATGGGAAAGAGTGGGGTTCTAGAAACAAGGAACAGCCTGGTCACACAGAGACACGTCACACACAAGAGACTCGAGGTGGTCTGGGAGGGGTGGGACATAGGGGACGCTGGAGCAGGTGGGGACCCTGTCCCTTCCACTAGTCCAGGGCCTCTGAGGGCCACGTGAGTGTTCATTCAGCTGTGTAGCCTCAGTGCCTAGTGCTATACTGGTCCCTAGCAGAAACCCTCAGGACGCTGCATGAAAGAGTGCGTACTCAGATTTGCATTTTAAAAAATTCGTTCAGACCTGTGGTTCTGACGAGATGGTAGACTAAACGGATGGGGACCTCCTTCCCCACACGATCACAGAAAAATGAGGAAATACATGATTAGAACCATTTGAATATAAAACTGAGCATAATGAGAATAATGGGAAGATCCCCAGTTACCTGAAATAAAGAGGAAACTAAGTCAAAGCCAGAATCTTTATCATGGGAGCTGGGGCTGGGATGATCAAACTCTGACATAGTTACAGGCTCTGGGATTTTCATGCCCACAGGAGGAAGAAGACCTGGCCAGGGAAATGGATCTGAGAGTCAGGAATCTAGGAAGGGCTGTTGGTCTTTAAACAGGGACAGGAAGACCTTTCTCACAGCCCAGAGAGTCTGTATGTGAAGTGGAGCAGAGGTCTCTCCTTCGCAGAAAGGAGATTCCAAGCCCACATGGCATGGGTGGGTGTAGAGGCTGAATCCATGCTACCCAGCTTCCGGGAATCCTAACCGAACTAGCCGGGCCTCTGGAACCCCTGGGGTCTCGGTGGAACTACCACTGAAGTGATGAACACAGACCCCCACAACTCACAGCTCCCACGGTGAAAACAATCCCGACTTAAGATGGTCTCCTGATAAAAAAGAACAAACCAAGCGAGGAAGTGAGGCACCACGAAGGCAAGGCGATAGACACAACTCATGGGAGAGATAGTACCCTTAAAACTAGAGATAATTGGACACTTCAAAAGACATGATATGTGTCATCAAAATAAATAAAGAGATGAAAGGGACAGAAATCATAATAAAAACTAGAGCACTAAAAAACTAAACTAAAACCCAAAATTAACAGGCTGATTTTAAAAAGCTCCAAACAGAACTTCTAAAACTTAAAAATAAAACCCAAACCCTCACATTCGGAAAGAGTACTAAACAGCCGATTATGAACAGCTACAGGGTCAGTAAACTCACAGATGTTTTTGAGGAAGTGCTGGAATTCGTCATTGGCAGAAAGGGAGATGGAGGAAAAGAGCAGACCAAATAACATGGCAGGTTTCTAACAGGAGCTCTAGGAAAGACCGGAGAGAATCAAAGAGAGAACAGAGAAGAATTTCCAAATGGAAGAATCACACCGAGCCCCCAGCAACATAATAAAAACGATTCTACCCTTTGACTGACTGCCGTAAAACTACAGAATGCTAAAGTCAAAAATCAGGTCTCAAAAGCAACCAGAATGAAAAGTCATGCAAAGCTCCCTCTGGTGACAGAGAGGACAGGCTGGAGGTCAAAGAGCCCGAGGCAGGGAGAAGTGTGCCAAGTAGCTCCTGGTCCCCAGCACTGGGAGGAGGGTTGTGGGGACGGAGGCAAGGGAACATTCTGGACACAGTTCTCCATCCATGAAGGGTACAACTGTCCTCACAGTTGTTCTGAAGTCCGAAGCAGCTACTTTCCTCATCTGCGCTCCCATAGCCCTTGACTCCCCCCACTGTGGAGCGTGAGTCCCCCAGGGGAGCTGTGGTGAGGTCTGCTCTTTGCACAAACTCCTCAAGGCCCTGGAACAGGTGTAAGTCATCTCTTGTGCCCCAGTGCCTAGCACAACACGTGGTATGGGGCGGGAGGCTACTGAACATGTAACTGACTTCTCATGAATCACATACTCGCTCTTCGTGGCCTGTTCCTAGGCCCGTGAAGAGATCTCCAAACCTGAGTCAGAGAAACGACTCTCAGTCAGCCCCGGGTTCCCTGGATTGCATATTAAAGGCAGTGAAGCTTTCTGCAGCAGAAAAATAGAAGGTCCGTGGTGGACACTGGTAGCACCTGTTGGCGTGGTGGGGAGAGGCCTCACGTTTCTTAGGAGCACATATGACCAAATTTTGAGGGGCTAAAGGGATAATCTGAGTGAAGAGCTTTACCAATCTGGCTCCAGGCACAATAGGGCAGCTTCCTTCTTCTAATGACCTTGGTTACGAATGCTGAGGACTGTGCCCTCTAGCCCAAGAAGAGGCAGGGTCCAAGTGCGGCTGGATATCAGATATGGACCAGTCCCAGGGCCTGTCGTCCCTGTAGCCCAGGGGCAAGCACGAGCCCCTTGATGCAGACGAAGAACAGGATGGCATGGGGCCAAATACCGGGGCCACCAGGATGTTTCTAGGGAAGGAAGCTGAGAAGAGTATCCAGGGAAAATAAAAGCAGAGTGCCTATTTGCAGGGCGACTCCATCTGAAGGGAATGACCACTGGGGACCACCATCCCAACAGTCTCAATACTTATTTACAACACCCTCTTCACAGATGGACTGAATTTGACAGAGCTAAATACTAAAATGACCATGAATTATAGTAAAAGCAGTAGTTTCAATAATGAATTGTACCAAATTAATCTTCAGATATCAAGCTAATTTCTTAGGCAAACCTTCTTGCTCTGTGGCTCTCGCATTCGTGTGACTTGCCTGAGGAAACACGGACTCCTCAGGGCCTGGGGTGAAACAGCCTCATTTCCCAAACACCCTTGTTACACCAATACTGGGATTCAGGCACTCTAGGGGAAATGACCCTAAAAGTGAAGAGAGGAACACAGACAGGGCAGAGCCCAGCGGAGAGGAGAAAGTCACAGTCAAGCTCATGGGATTCTCCAGGCCTCCCTTGGCAATTCACACGCGGACAGAGGCGGCTGCCTTTAGACCGAGTGCGTCGCCCCCAGCAGACAACAGCCAAAGCCGTCTACCAGCCTCTTCCCTACTGGTCCTCCCTTAGCTGCTGCCCCAGCTCACGGAGATAGGCTTGCGGCCACTGGGAAACAAAATGGAAGCCCTGACGTAACTCTTCTGTTTGGGCAGGAGAGGTACACTTACTGTGGGCACTTGACGTGCTAGGCTGTGATGATGTCCTTAACATATCATTTCCATCCCCCAGGACCATCATTCCCCTAGTTTTGGCAGAAGGCATCCTTAGTCCCATTGTTCTTAACAGATGAAGAAACCCGAGGCTCAGAGGTTAGGACATCTGCCCACACACTGCTAATGAACCGCGAGACTGCCTCTAGGAGGACGAGCGAGACAGAGCCACAGCGAGGGGTCACCGAGACGTCCCACTCTTGAATGAAGTGGCTGCCAACCTCTTTCTTGAGAAGCAGGGAGTCGGGCCAGAACTGGAGTGTGTCAGCACCCTGGGCTGAAAGACTGTTCCCGCTGCCATAATCCGTGTGCGCGGGGCTGCCATCCCCCTGCCATCCGGCGGGCACTAACGTGGGGAGCGCAGGGTGGCATGGATGAGCAGATTATGGCTGGCATTTCTCTGACTCCCTAGTGACGCCTGCACCTGCCCCCAGGAGACCTACTCGGTGGTCCCCAACCCTGGATCCGAGAAATCCAGCACTGCTTCCCTGCCGAATTCAGCATTATGAGACGCCGAGATGGTATCTCAACACAACAGCCCAGAAACTCTGGAGCTTCCAGAAACAGCGCCATCCAAGAGGAAAAATGATGGTGTTAAGGGCACTTGGTCAATCTTTCCTAAGTGATTAATCCGGTAGGAATGGAGGGTACACAACAGCTTACTACAGCATCCTCTAAAGATGAATGATAAACGGGAGTAACACCTTGAAACTAATATGGATGGAAATTTCGGTCACAAAGGCGCCCGGTAACCCATCCGCCCTGTCCCCCCCACCCCCCTGGGGAACCAGAGTAGGAGTTCTTCAGGAAGACCTAAGTTTCTCTTCTGGAATGTAAAGGACAGTTCCACTGGCATGTGCTTACTGGATTCCTTCCAGTGAGTACCATTAAATAGCTCGCATATTTAAACAATCAGTCCGCAAGTCCAGGTTGGGACTGTTCCTGTCACTGACTGGGGTTTCCAAAATAGCAAGGCGGGACAACAGCTGTCGTTCGTCTATTCTCTTCCCAGAGCAAATGGGATCATGGTGACTCTTCCTCACGCGGCTGTGGCCAGTGACCCAGAGCAAATTACGTCCGTTCCCTAGACTTCAGCTCCTGCACATACAGCAGTGGTAACAATGGAGGAAAGCTCTTTGGGGTGCTATGAGGGTCACACAGGATAAGAGATGGAATGTCCCCAGAGGTGTGCCTGACGCCCAGTGTGGGGGCTCACTGGTCGCTGCCATTGTTGCTCATCTCACCACTGTCATTGTCACCAGCGGGCACTCGCTGTGTCACAGACAAAACTACACAGTCGGGAAAGTAGTCTGTGATGAAGGAAAGAGCTCCTAGAACAGCCTGCCAGGTGCCCCCTTTCTAATAATAAGATTACTGACTTGAGTCTCTGCAGGGACCCAGAAATCCCCCGAGTATAAAGTTCACAAGGTAGACTAACACAACAAAACCTAGTCACAGAGGCGAGGTCAGACCCAAGGGCACAAGCCTAAGTCACTCAGTGAACCAAACTAGCAAGCGCGGCCTTGGAGACAGGTGGCAGCAGTGGGGTGGGGTGGGGGGTCCCCCAGAGGAAAAACTGACATCTGGAAAGGAAGGTTGCTTCTGAATAGATGTGTCATACCTCCCACACAAGTACTTCAAGTAATACATTTAGGAGCCCAAGAGATTTGACAGGAGAAACAGTTCTGTGCCAGCTCTTTTCTAGGACAGCCCCCCAAAGTGTTAGTCCCTTCCTGACAAGCCTTTGTCAGAGAAGCCCGCTGTGACAGAACCCACAGGCGCTGCCCCCTCTGTGGGACAGGGTGAGGGGATGCTCCTTTCTTCCCCACCCAGTGGCTTACTTGTTGCTGTCGCGGTACTCGTAGATGTGACATCCTTGAGGCAGTCCGGTCTCGTGATCCAGAGTGAAAGCAAGTTTCAGCTGAGGGAAGAGAGAAGAGAGAAATAAGGAAGTCGAGGCAGCATGTGCTCTTCATTCTGGCCGCTGAAATGAGGAAAAAGTCATGACCTGAGCTGGAAATAAAAGTCGGACACCCAAACCAACTGTGCCACCCAGGCGCCCCTAACTAACTAGAATTTTAAATAAAAACTTGAAAAAAAAAAAAGAAGTAAAGTTTTAGAAGTAGAGTCGACAGGATATGCTGAGGGATTCTATGTTAGGGAGTGGTGAGATGGGAAAAGAAGAAATCCAAGACAATTCAAGTTCTTGATTTGGACAATCAGGTAGGTTCCATGGCTGAGTGTGAAGACTGAATCTAGAGGTGGCTAGAAAGCCGAAAGTTTGGTTTTGGATATGTTAGCTTTGAGGCACTCAGTAACTTTCTCTGATTAGGGGAGATCAGGAACCAGAATCTGGTAATGAGGTCTTGTTGCTTTCTGGATTCCAGAAGGGCGTGCTCAGGTGAGTGCAGAATTCAGGGAAATTGTGTGTGTCCTGCTAGAGCTGAGGTGGTGAGGGCAGCTTTAACACTTCTAAACCTAGAGCCAATTATTAGATTTACAGACTTACCAGGTTTTTAAATTGCCAGGGAAATTTTAACTAAAATTAACTGCACATTAGGATACATTATTCTAACTTTTTTTTTTTTTTTTAACTGCAAGGCTGTTAACACAGATCTGCATCATTAGATGCTGGACGGGTTTTCTCTTCCTGAGAGGGAAAAGAGCTTGTAGGAATGGCTTGTCCTCTTACTGACCCAGATGAAAATACAAAAACAGAAACAAGCCCTTCTTCACCACCCTGAAGCCAGGAACTTCAAGTCAAAGGCATGTTTTCCCTACAGAGCCCTGCTTGGACCTCCCCAGCCCTCTTTCAGCAAAACCGAAAATCATTGTTTTTTAAAAAAATCTATTAACTATACCATTTTCTCTTGACCTCTCCCTTTGTGGCTGAGGCCAGGCCTATATTCACTAAGTCCATTTCAAAGATTGCTCCACTTAGAAATTCCAAATCCTTTAGCTCAGGATTTATGAGCTTTATGCAATTTATGAATTTATGGCTTAGAAAAATTATCATAAATGTAAGAGCTAAAGTTTTTCTGTGAAACTGTTCACTTCAGTATCATTTACTGGAAAGACTCGAAAAGCCCAGCAGTGCAGGTGGCCAGGTAAACTATGACACAATCCCATGCAGGGTAGCAGCCATTAAACTGTTTATGAAGGATTCTGATTGATCTGGGAGAATATCTGGGTTAGTTGGAAAAAAGCAGGATGCATATGTGATTATATACCAAGAAAACTATGTAAAACGGAACAGAAACCACCTAGAAGAAAGACTGGAGGGAACGATGGCAACAGTGTTCCTCTCCTTTCTTTGCATTTTCCAAATTCTTTAGGATAAATCTAAGGAGCTATGAGCCACAGTCCTTAGTCATGAAGGAATTAAGGGAAATTTCATTCTTGAGGTCAAGAAACTGTGTAAATATCAATTCAACATGTAGGTGAGTGGGGAGGTGCAGGGAGGGGACAGGACAGATGAGCACTCCTATGTACTGAATGGAGAACTCATATTTATTGAAAGCCTACCAAGTAAAGGCTCTCCTTTACCCTGACCACAACCATTTGAAGTAGGTATTATGATTTCCTTTTTACAGGGGAGGAACTTGAGGCTAAGAAAGGTTAAGTAATTTGTCCAAACCACAATTAGAATTTCAGCTAAAACCCAGGCTCTTTGCACCTCACTGGAACTAGAGGACTCAGTGATGGTCTAGACAGGAAGCCTGCCGGGGAGGGGTCAAGAACAATGTTTAAGGTGCTCTCCCTCGGGCAGCAGGATGGATGGAGCTGCTACTCACCGTGACAAGGAGGAATAGCAGGTTTGGAAGGAGAGCTGGAGTTTAGTTTGGGAGCGCTGATTTTAAGGTGTCTGAGAGGCATCGTCATGCAGATGAACAGTAGGCAGCTTGTATAAACAATTCTGAATTTTTTAGGCAAGACTGTGATCTGGAGGTACAAAATTTGGAAGCCTCTGGATAGTAAGTAAGATGGTAACTAAAGCCACTGGTGTGGACGAGAACACGCCCAAGAGAATATATAGAGGGAAAACGAGGTCTTTGCTAGTACAGCTGGGTTTTGGAGCAGGGCAATGGAGGTTAAGGAGGAGGGGCAAGGGAGTTCTGGGCATGAGTTCTGTTGTTACAGGAGCCAAGAGGAGAACATATCTCAAGGAGGGAGCAGTCAGCGGCATTCAATCCTTCTAAGAGGTCAAGTAAGAGAGGAACTGGCATCCAAAACCAAAAAGAGTCCATTGGAGTTAGCAACAAGGACTCACAGGAGTGTGGGGGAAGCAGAGGGCAGGGCGCGATGGGTGAAAAATGAGTAGAAGTTAAGGAAGTGGGGATCGTGAGTGTATGTAGTTCTTTTAGCAAATTAGACGGTGGTGGGGGAAGAGTCAAGATGAATGGATTGGAACAGGACCGGACAGGAGGATGGGGCTTAAAGAAGAGCATGTGGTAGGACAACGGGCTGTTTAAATGTGGATATAAAAGAAGCACTACAGAGGGCAGGCTCCAAGACATGGGAGAGACGGAGGTAACCGAAGAGTCAAGGTGGCTGAGATGACCGGAGGAATGAGATGACGCCAACGCGGAAGTGGATGACCCTTCCTGCACCGTAGCAGTGGGGAGGGCTGGGCAGGGATGCAGATGTATCTGTGGATTTGGCGGAGGTGTGTGTGTGTGGGGGGGGGAAAGCAGGATGGGGGATGGTGGTGGTTTGGAATGTTCCAGTCTGATTTTTGTTTTCTGAGAATTAGGAGGTCAAATAATCCACAAGGAATGGAGGGTTTGGTGAGGGAAGGAAAGGAGGTTGGAGGAAAGTGATGAAGGCTTGAAACTGTTTCTCTGGAGAGCAGGAAAAACCGTTGACCAGGGAAGAGCATGAGGGCTGCCAGGGAGCACTAACGGTCCAGCTGAGGCCACAGGAACTGAAGTTTCTATAGTAACCATCTGTCCAGATGTTGGTTTTTTTTTTTTTTTTTCTAGCAACTTAGACATTGGCATGAAGAAAGTTAGGTTGGTCCAAAGCTGAGCATTTGCCAGGAAGGTCTGAGGGAAGAATAATGGAGCAAGGGAGTAGAGATAGGATATTGGCAACAGATGGGCCAGAGACTCTAAGGGGGAACAGGCGAGAAATAAAAATGGAAGGGGCCGATTGGAAGAAAACAGAAAGATCTGGGTGACAGATGTCTTGTTTGGTATTATTTATTGAGCATGTTATGCTCCTGTGACATGGCAGTTCTAAGTACTTTTTGCCCAAATTAGCAAATCAGTTGCAGGGCTGAAGTGTGACCCACCTTGCTAACCACTGGACCACACCAGCCTCCTGAGTGTCCCTGATGTCAAGGACTGTGAACTGTGAGAGTCACTGAGTGAGTGAGTGGGGGGCACTGGAGGCTGTGGTCAGGGAGTAAGTTCTGTCTGACCTTGGAGATGGGGCAGTGAGTCCTCAAGATATGAGCAGAATGGAGAATTGGGAGGTCGGGATGAAAAGGTCTCCCACGAGAGGTCTGAAATCCACCCAGCATGATAACATGATGTTTCCCAGACAAGCTCATCCACAAAGTGTGTCACTATGGGCGTGCAGGGGTGTTGGTAGGTACCTACTTTGTGCAAGGTTCCACACACGAATGAAGGAGCGCAACTGGTCCATGCAGCAGACTGAGATGCTGAGCCAGCGGGCCTTTCCTCCTTCCCAATGACACCCTACACTTACTTAGCTAGTTACCCTCCCACACAGGCCATGGAATCCAGGGGGAAGCAGATCCAGTGTCCTGGGCTCGGCCTGGCCATTCTAAGGTGACCTTGTACACCTCTCAGTAACTGATCAGGAACCCAAGCCAATCAGTGCCTGGCATCTCCTGGCCCCAGGAACTGGTTCAGGCAAGGCCAAGGGACCTAACAAAGCCCGTGAGATATGAGGGGACGTTTGCTGAGTGCTTCTGGGCATGAGGGCCCAGAGCTGTTGAAGCTAGCTCGCTCTCAGCCTGAGAAGGAAGCCCAATTCACAGAAGAAGCAGTCTTTAGAGACCTGCAGAAGAACAGAGCTGGATGCTTGGGGGAGCCAGGCCTGGTCCTTGTCGGCCATCCAGACCTCCACTGTTCTGTAACATCCTCTCTCTGGGACACAGACACATAACATGTCTACCCACTTCTTGGTACCACTCTCCACAATGCAGCTGAGTTATCTTTCTAAAACACAAGCCTGATGACACTTCCTTCTTTAAATACCTCCGATGGCTTCCTGCTATTTGCCACAGGTATAAGAACAAGTCTAACAGCCAGGGCTCTCTGGAGGTTGGCTCCCCACACGAACAAAAATGGACTGTGACAGAGGGATGGCGAGGGGGACATGCACTGAGGAGAGGGTGCCAACCAGAGAGGACCTCAGGGTAGGTGACAGGAGTCTTAAGGGAGACACCCAAGCCTGCCTGACAGGGAAGGGTGCCGCCACGCTCTCACTGCTCCTGCTGCAAAATCCCAAGCACTTGATCCTCACGGTGAAGCTCACTGTGTGAGCTTGGATCACGCCTTGTACTTTCATACCTCCGGCCCTTCCTTAGGCCATGACTGCTTCTAGAAGGGCCCTTCCTGTCTACCCCAGCAAGACCCCACGCATTCTTTGAGCTTCTCTCTGTGAAAGTTGGTCTTTCACAACTCTCTCCTCTGGTAACTAGAGGCAGGGTCTCCCTCCCCCAGTGGTCCAAGGGCCCAGGAGGTGTGGGGGGTGACACCTTCACCGGGTACCCTCCACACGCAGAACACAGCACTGCCCACAATAGGTGCTCAGTGCACGTCGCTAAACTGACCAGCCTAGTAGAGAACAGCTGCCCAGCCATCTCCTACACGCCAGAGGCGCCCCCTGCAGGTTTCTGCGCCCCTCAGCACGCTCTGATCCTGGCTGGACAGATCTGTAGTCACCCCA